TCAAATGGTATTTCTATTTGCAACTTTTTGAAAAAGGGCCATACAGCCTTCTAGAGTGGTTGCACCAGAAAGAATTCTTATGGTTCAATGTTGGGTTGTCCAGAATTCAAGTTGCTAAAAATCAGGAAGAAACGGTTGCCTTGTGAGTATCTTAATGAATGCAAACTTTCCCAAAAGCTTCAAGCGCCTCTGGTCTTTGATCTTGAACATTGCAACCAATCAAGTTCTTGGAGGAAATGTAAGCAGAATGTTTCTTAAAGGGGAGTCGAAGTGAGGCTCACATTACTTGCTGCATTTTGTTGGGAGGGGCCTGTCCTTGGGGAAGAAGATACTATGCTGGGAAAAGCAGGTCAGGAAAGAGAGGAGTCTCTATTTGGAGTGACTGCGGCTTGAGGAAGCTTGAGCAGGGCAGACTGTGGGCATGACACAGACACAGCTGTGAGCCACAGGCAATTCGACAGCACCCAACCGCCACCACAGCAAACAATCAAGTTCATGTCCAGGAAATCGAGACGACACTCTATTCGTGCTGACTTGACCTTCATTTTAGGCAGGGGATGAGATCAGAATACTATTATGTTGTTGTTATTGTTGTTATGTGCCGTCGAGTCGCTTGCGACTCATAGCGACCCTATGTACAACAGCCCTAAACTCCACTCTGTCCTGTGCCAATCGCACTGACTCTGACACTCCCATCCCAATTATCCCAGTCACTGAATCAATCCACCTCTTTAGAAGGCCTTCCTCTCCTGCGCCGTCCCTCCACCCTCCCAAGCATGATGTCCTTCTCCAAGGACCGATCTCTCCTCACAACATGTCCAAAGTATGTTAGACAGAGCCTCAGAATCCTTGCCTCCGAGGAGCCACCCGGTTTAACCCTTTCCAGAACAAATCTGTTTGTTTTCCTAGCAGTCCATGGTATTCTCAATACTCTTCTCCAGCACCACAGCTCAAAGGCATCAATTCTCCTTCTATCCTCCTTGGTCATTGTCCAACTCTCTGATGCATAACAAGTGATTGCAAAGACCATGGCCTGTATCAGACGCACCTTAGTCTCCAGAGAGACACCATTGCTCTTCAGCACTTTGGAGAGGTCCCTAACAGCAGACTTTCCCATGACAGTGCGCCTTTTAATTTCCTGGCTGCTGGTACCAAGACTGTTGACTGTGGAGCCAAGCAAACTAAAGCTGTGTACAGTCTCAATCTCTTCACCATCCATCCTGATGCTGCCAATTGGTCCAGTGGTGAGAATCTTTGTTTTCTTGACATTGAGCCTCAATCCATATTGTAGGCTGCAGTCCTTGACCCTCTGCAGCAGGTGCTTCAGGTCCTCTTCAGTTTCAGCAAGCAACAACAATAAAACAGAATACCATATACATACTCTTTAAGTGGTTTAATAGATAAGCCTTTGCTCTCTAAGGAGTTTCCTTGTGATGGAAAAATGAGTTACGGTAAAGATGGCTTAAGTATGAAATAAAGGCTCACACTTGCTTATATATGGAAATGAGTTACAACTGCAAAACAAGTGGAACTCAAGAGTGGCATATATATATGCCATCAATTTTTAAATCAACATGTCTGAACATTTAACTTTGCTTCAGTGTTAAAAACACTGTGCTTAGCTGATAATTTTTTTAAAGCAGTTTCTCAGGTGAGCTGCATGAAAAAAGATTAAAAATACAATGGAAAATGTTTTAAGTGTCTCTACTACAGCATCAACGCTATGAGAATGTGTCTTTTACTTTTTTAAAATTTTATTTTATTATTATTTTGTGTATGTGTACCGTCAAATCAGATCTGACTGGTACAGGAGGAGATTGCTCCTCCTTTCTCCAGCAGAGGATCTGGTGGATTCAAACCATGTACTTCTGGGATTGCAGTGCAGCTTCTTGCCACTAGGCCATGAGAATGCTTCTTTAAGTACAGCAAAATTCTGTATCCTAAAGTTTTTAGCCTCTTAAATGTATTTTTGTTACTTTGATTTGAGTAGACGTTTAAAAAGCAAATTAACTTTTCATTCAACCATTCATAAACATTTTGTTTTACAAAATCAATTACAATAAGCACAAGGTAGCCACACTCTCCTCTCATCTTCTAATCTCCCTAAGTCCTTTCCTCCTTCTCATTTCTACCTTTTGGGCTTACTCTTGCACAAATCCTGTTTTTCAACCTAATGTGGTGGGTTCTTCTAAGGAACCTCCCTACTGTTACTGGTCACTTTCCAGGCCCATCGCTGGGTTGGCATAAAGGTGAGTTTTGTTCCAGGTTCAAAGGGTGACTAAAGGCAATAGTTTCCAGGGTTGTACCAGTCTCTATCAAACCCTTTAAATTTTCCAGTTTCTCACACACTTCTCCCCCCTCTCCCCAGAATCTTCTCTGTGATTGTTTCAAAGCGGTCAGCAGTGGCAGCCGGACGGCACCTAGTTCTTCCGCTCATAGAAGCCCGTTAGTCCTTTGGAAAAATTGTTAGACAAGCTTTTACACAACTTTGGTTCCTTAAACAAATTTCTGATAAGTGAACTAGTAAAAATGCTCCACTCGAGATGGGTATTAAACATTTTATTCAAGGATTTTTAAAATAAAAAAAAATACGCACATACAGATTACATCATGATGACCAAGGCAGTATTCTACAGAACAAAACAACACAACAAAAATTATAAATGCGAATGTACCGGTACTGAATGAGCAGAAGACCTGGCATCTCAACCAGGCTTTTAAAAACACAGAAAATGATCTGACCGCAAAGAACATGCTTATGCAAAATATTTTTTTTCTTAAAACACAGAAATTCTAGCCACTCTGATGAGCACAGTGCCTTATTCCCCTGGTGAGTATTTTGAAAGAAAATTTTCTATACAAAGAACTTGCATGGCACTTAAAGGACTGAAAAAATTCAGAACACAATTTAAAACATCTGTCATGTAATTCTGTATAAAATATACATTAAATCTTATTAGTTTAAAAAAAAAGATTTTAAAAAAACCAACAAAACAACCTGAAGAATGGTTAAAAACTCATCATAGAAAACAAGTTCATCATTTGTAACATTAGAACATCAGTAGAAAACGGATTTTTTTAAATGAGAAGATAGCTAATTTGAAGTTGTTCATTTAAAACTGTGGTTAAGATAGTGACTCACTGCTTATCTCCTCTCCAAATGATTTATCACATATATTCTTTCCAAGATCTAACCACAAAGAAAAGAAAAGAACTGACGTGTTTCTTAGAATGAGGTCTAAAGGCGCATTGGCATTGAAAGGGGGCCAGTAATATTCACTGGAAACAAACACCCTAGGTGATTATTCCAAATTCTAAAATTTGACAAGTAATGCCCTAGGAAAAATAGCATCACTTAAAAACAAGGTCATAAATATACTTCTGACATAAAAGGTCAGAGCTCTTTCTATGTTTATGATCCGAATACTCCTTTTAAAACAAGTTTCTGGTATGAAGAGAAACGTACACCTTTCAAATGAACATGTAATTTATAAACATTCTCTCTGGAGGTCTGCATTGTTTTTGGATCTCGTTAGTTGAAGAAAAGACAATAAATGGCCTGAAACTAGAAAAATTACATCTTTAACAAAATGTAGCTTTCAAAAAAGAAAGAGGATAATTTATTAAATGCCCATAATTTTAAAATCATTCTAGATTTGAAACTAGATAGCATTTCCTAAAATTTACCCAAGAGTGAGTAATTAGATAATTATAAAGTCCCTTTTCATAAAAAAATATTTAAAATAAAGAACAGAAGGATGTTATCCCTTTAAATAATAAATTGCTAAGTATCAATATTAATAAAAAATAATCTGAAGAGCCCTGCCCTTGAAATGTGTTTTATTCTGTATTGCATGTGTTACCCATTTAACAAGCAACTACTTAATGTGTGGAACTGGGACAATTGAGAGTGATGTGTGTCCCCAATGTTTATTATTATTCTTTAATTTCACATACAACTCCACAAATAAGGTCCAGAAGCATGGACAATGTGGTATTCAGGGGAGAAACTAGTATGGGTAAGATATTCTACCATGGAGAGAGTTGTTTTCTGTATATTAAATTATAAGAAAACGTTTTCTCCAGTAACCAAATGGAATGCTTCGGGTAAGCTTAATAGCAAGTGAGAAGCTCTTCATTATTTAAATCAAGCTACACACAGCAACTGGAACTTACTCTCCAGTAAGTAATAAATAGTACCTTGATACTTTCCTAACTCTATTCTAAAGATCTAACTTTTTTTCCTTTGTGTATACTGAGAGATTTTTCATTCTGATTCCTCTGATACACTTTTATTCACTTTCCAGTTAATGTTTGGGCTAAATGAACAAACTCAAAATCACTAAATGATTTTTTTATCTGATTCTTAAGAAAAGGTTGGGTTTGTATTTTGCTTTTTATTCAAGGAGAATCTGAGTTCTCCAATTCTATGCAAACGACACCTTTTCTTATCAATTAATCAATTTAATAACTGTTATTTAAAAATTAGTAATTCAATTATCCAGTAAAGGAGTAAAATTTACGGCCAAATTTTTAAACAAAAATAACTTGGAAACCAATAGGTAACAAAAACATGTATATTTTTAATTAATCTTTTATTCTAAAACGAAACACTTAATGACAGGAATAGTAAGAAGTTTATGATACAAAACCACTATCTGCCTCAATGCAATAGATACTCTCTATTAAAGCAGTGGTCTTTCTTTTAAATAAAAGATAATTTTCTAACATTTAAGCAGGTCACTGAAGAACTAGTACATTTAACTTTTGACATGATTGATTGTCTGGAAATTAGTTTCTTTCCCCACCCCCCACAGTTTAATGTAGATGTCAAATACCTGACTCTTACAGTCAAGAAAAGAAGATGTCGAGTGCTTTTTTAAATGTGGCAAACCCAAAAATGGTTAGTTTTTAAATCTTTATCATTGTATTCAGGCTGTAACACGTTTATCCATGCATTAAATGGCAACACAAGCAAAATGCATAGTTGGCAAAGGAGATCAGACACATTCTTCTGCAGACATCAGAAGAGGATTGATATACTCGAAGCCTTCAAATTCAGACTGGTCAATCTTCCTCACAATGTCACTGGTGAAAGAAAAAGAAATTTATTTTCATAACCAAGATTTCTTCAACCATCTAGTTAAGTGATAAGATTAATAAAATACAGAGAAGTACTCTAAGTTCTTAGGTCAATCCCAAAACATTTTCTAAAAGTATCAAGAATAAAAAGTAATCCCCAAACCAGACTATTAGCCCACAGCCAACCCTAAACAAAAAGGTAGTTCAAAGATTCTGGGGGGTTGGGGGGGGAGAAGGCCAGAAAGAGGTTGTCACAATCCAGTTAAGCCTAACTTTTGACCTGCACAATATTAATTATATGTGAGTATCCAGATTCTGAATCAGCATTTAACTTAGTAATCACCTCAACAGCCACAGGGAAGCCGGTGAAGAGGAGGCCCAGAAGTTAGCCAGAAGGAAAAGGCCGACAGGAGCAAGGACACTGAGAGACCAGGAGTGAGGAGAGGACACCACAGGGTCACAGGAAGCGGGGAAGTCAGCATTCGCTACACTGGACCCCCAGCTTAAGAGAGAGAACTGGGGAGCATCCACTAGTGTAATACTTCAGCAGATACGCTGTATTTCAGCACACAATTAGCTGCCTTCAAAAAGAGAAAAGCAAATTCATAAACTCGAAAGCTATAAAGGAGAATCTGTCGAATTTCACAAAGGCCAAAAAAAAAGTCTGCTCTAACCACAGCTCTAAAGAAAGGAGTAACGTTTAGTTTGAAAAATCCAAGGCAGCATTCATGCCACAGATATTTACAGAATAGGAGTATCAAAGGTTCTGGTAGATCTGGGGAAATGTAATGTCCCGGATTCAACTGTGACCCCCGCCTCCCAATATATAGATGTCAACTTGGGAAGATAAGGATTTTCCACGGTGGCCCTCTGCCTTACGATCTCAATGTAAATATCCTCTATTTTGAGATGTGTTGTAAATTATTTAATGTGTTAATGAGGAAGGCAGAATTAGATTACATTAATAAAGATTGTTGTTGTTGTTGTTGCTATGTGCCATTGAGTCACCTGTGACTCTATGTACAGCATCTCTGAAGCCTGCCTGTCCTGAACCAGTCTCACTAACTCCGACACACCTACCCCCATCCCCCCAGTTGCTGTATCAACCCATCTCATCTGGGGTCTCCTTCTCTGGTGCTGTCCCTCCACCCTTCCAACCATCATGTCCAAATACAAGGATCTGTCTCTCCTGGCCATGTGCCCAAAGTATGTGAGACAGAGCTTCAAAATCCTAGCCTCTAAGGAGAAACTTGGTTTCAGCCTCTCCAAGACAGACTGATTTGTTTTCTTGGCAGTCCATGGTATGTTCTAGGCTCTTCTCCAGCACCACAATTTGAAGGAATTGATTCTTCTTTTGACATCCTTAGTCATTGTTTAGCAGCTTTCTGATGCACGGCGTAACTGTGAAGACCATGGCCTGGGTCAGGCACACCTTAGTGTCTAGAGGTTATATTAAATATGTTAATGAGGCAGAATCAGTGGAATGCAAAGCCTTTACTTAAGTCAGAGCCTTGACTCGTGTAAGGTGAGTATCCCCAGGGTGTGGCCTTCATCACCTCTTATCTTACAAGTCATAAAAGGAGAATGAAACAAGGAGAGAACTATTTCCAAGAAAGACCAGAAGCACAGCCTTTGGAGCCAGGGTGCCTGTGCTGAGAACCTTCTAAACCCCAGGGAAGATGGCTGACATGATACCTGGAAACCTTCAAGAACACGGGGGTCTACAGATAATGAGGCAAGCAAGGACCTGCCCTGAAGGCCACAGAGAATTCTACTGCCCTGAATTTGAACTTCTCATTTCCTACACTGTGAGAAAATGTTTATTTGTTTGTTTAAGGCAACAACTTATTGTATTTATGTTACAGCAGCAGGAGATAAATATGTACCAAGTACCATAGTTTATTAGAATTTGAACACAGGAACAGAAAGCTATTTTACGTGACAAATAATGCTTTAAAGGGAGGTAACAGATCAAAGACACCAGTTATGTTTACACAAAGAACTTTGAATTTACTCTATTAGCCTGCATTTCAGGTAGCTCAGAAAGACAGTAAAGATTTCACTGGAGAAAATGAGAATATAGAGGACACAGACTGAGCAGAGGTAAGAGCAAATTATCGGGAAATGGTTGGACTGAGACTGAGAAGAACATGGTGCTCGCACCTTCATGTGCCCAGATGACAGATTTTATTTGAACAGCTATGGAGGAGTTACTGACGGTTTCTGACTAACGGAGCTAATGAATCAAATACTACCTTACAAGGAAGACAGGAAAGGCTGTAGAGAGAGGTGAAGGCCATCAGTCAGGAGACTGGTGCCACATTCTACACAGAACTTTAAAATAGCCCTTCAGCTGCAGTTACTGCAGGAAGAATGGAAAAGAAATACCTAATGCCAAATGTTGAAGTCAAGAAAAAAAACAGGCAAGAACTCAACCAGTGAATACAGTATCCTCAGATGATGAGCTCTGGTGGACCATAGGCATATGGGCTGTTAACCCAAAGGTCAAGCCTCTTGGTGGTTCAAATGTACCAGCAGCTCCCACAGGAAGAACAGGAAATCTCCTCCCGTGTGATTTACAGCCTTGAAAACCCCCTGGAGTGTCAGCTATGAGTTCTGACTTGACAGCAATGATTTTGAGTTGTTTATCATCTGTAAGGAAAAGGAAGTGTCAACAACAACTGAAATACTAAGGCTTCAGGTCAGGATTTTATGAGAACAAAAGAAATAGGTAAACAAAGACAGGGAGCTGACTGAACACAACTGAAAAAAGACTGCTGATACATTACGCCTGAGATGCATGTGTGACAAACAGAAAGATGGTATGTGGATGGAGACGCAGCTCAAAAAAGGAATCAGAGCCTGTGCCACGTGTTTTAGAAATCAACTTTCATTTTTCTTGACAGCAACCTTCTAAGGTACGAAACACAAGGAGGAGGCCCAGAGAAGTTATGCAGTTCATACCCAGTGCAGGAGGGGAAGAGCTGGAGTTCAGAGTTCCATCTTCTGATGAGATCCCGTGCTGTACTATGAGAAGCTCTGACACAGCAGCTGAAGTGCTTGGCTACCAGCCAAAAGGTCTGAGGCTCAAACCCACTAGCCATTTTGCCATTTGGCTTCCATAAAGATTACAGGCCTGAAGACTCTCTACTCTGTTCTACGAGTTAGAAGTACCGATTTAGTGCACAGCTACGTCCTGTACTAGACAGTAGGCTTTTTCTGAGATTTGAATGACCAGTACCAAGCATAGCACCTTGCAGTTAATAACTGTTTCCCAGTTTAGCTAGAAGTCATTTAAATAGCTGGTATCTACACTAAGCAGCGGGACAAAATGCCCCTTTTTTTTTACAAAATGTACACTGTAAATGGAAGGCTGTCAGGAACAGAAGCACAGAGCATTCAAGTTTCAAAGGATGATGAGAAAAAGATGAGTGTTACAAGGATAAGCAGAACCAAGAAAGCGAGGTCCAGAGTTCCCTGACCTCAAGGAAGCTAAGGACTGACACAATAATGCCTTAAGTTTACAAATGAAGAAATCAGTCCAACGTTCAAAAGCCAAAGAAGCAGATTAAATTTTAAGGACTTAAACTGTACCTTTTCAACCTATATGCAGAACAGATTATCCGGGAGCCTGGACTCTATGAGGAGAAATGTGGGGTCAAGATTGGTGGACAATTTATGAACAACCTGCGTTATGC